AGCAGCAGGACCCATCATAACGGGGCAAATTGGGGGGGGGGGTATTCCCCCTTTAACCTGCGTGTTCCGGTCTTCAGAAAAGTGGTTGGTTCTGAAGGTGGGAATCATTGGGGTATCACTTTGGCGACCACATTATGAGTTCCTCACAGGCGCCAACCTACGCAGATTCACTAACACTCGTGAAAACCAAGCAGAACTATGCCGGTCATCCATACAATGACCACATTCACATTGCAACTCACCGAACACCAATAATTGTCTCCTCCTAAACCTGGAAGTAACGTCCAAATCAGTCGTTCGTGCTGTTTCATGATGGTGTGTTATCTTTTGTTGGTTCTTGCTCCCCTAATGTCGATTGGACTACTGGTGCATCTGAAGTTGTCTAAGAAGTCCCGGTAAAGCGTAAAAGAAGCGCACAGCAGCCACACTGCATGTAAAGTTTACATTTCATCTTCCCGGTTCGGAAGCACTTGGTAACTCTCACCAGGGACACTGACAAGACAATATTCTGTAGTCTTTATCGGGGCCGCATCCCCAAACTGGATAACTTAACCCAAAACGATCGTCTTCAGCTTCTCTTATTGAAAATTCACTCACCAGTCTCTCATGGCCATTCTAACTTTCCTGGTCGTACACAATGCCAAATACTGGTTTCGAGTAATGCGAACTGGTAACGGCCACAAAGCGATGCTAACAACTAGGTACTAGTACGAGACAAAATTGCCAGAACTCGATGGTGGTGATCAAGGATTGAGCTTGACGACCAAAAATTCCGTGACTAACTTGACCAGTGTTTGGGCAATCAGATAGCATCTCAGTATCATGCTTTCTTCTGGTGGGATGGCGAATATGATCAGTGTCTTCCATATTAAGATACTCGTTTCGATCTTATTTCGCCGACGATTTATATTAGCCGCTTAATCCACTCAACCACAAGGTTTAAGAACACAATAGACTCGAGAAAATCAAACGGACTGAAAATCCTTTCTACATGACCGCGGTCATAACTACGCGTAGTCGTTTCATGGGACATCGTGGTCCCACCAGGATATAGTCTGGTTGTGGATGAAATACAAAATGGAACAGTGAACATCTGCAAAATACCAGTTTTATTCACCCCCAAGCAAAACTGTTCAGAATTGGATCATTTGTCCTTTTTTCTTCTTATCGCCTCCCAGTTCGAAGTGCTTGCATCGCTTGATAGCAATTTGCTTCTTGTATTTACACTGCGAACATTCCATCCTCAGCACGATCTTTTTCGTAGTTTTTGCCTTCTTCCTCAAGATAGGTTTGGTTTGTCCACCATAACCTGCACAGCATCCATGAGAAAATAAAATGCATACCAGACTGTTTTCTGTCGTATCGCCGTTTTCCCTGCGCATGAAGCGAAGCCTTTCCAGGTTTGTATTGCGTTACTTTGTGCAGAGTGTGTTTTTTACACTTGGAGCTCGCACAAAATGTTTTCCGTGTTTTCGGGATATTAACCATCGTGCGCCCGACGCTATCTTTTAAAGAGCCGCGTAAATGTGGTTGCGCGTTAAAACAACATCATCGTCACGTCAAATTTAGGGGTTTCATAGGGAACTGTGAGGTCTTCGCTTCTCGGTTGTCCGCGTTTGTGAAGCGGGAGTGTGCAAGTCATGGTAACGGCCTCTTGTTGGTGCCGAGTGTCTTTTCACGGATTCACGGATTGATACATACACTCGAGGCTTTTGCCCAAGTTTCCCGGGTCGGTTTTGTTCTTGTCGGTCAGTGGCTGTCGGTCACCTGAAAGGCGCAAGTGAAAAAAGGGTGTAGCACTGCTCTTTATGTTCTCAGCGCGGGGCAGTATGCTAGTCAGCGCGAGGATTCGCATAAATAAATGTCTAATAGTGCTTTAAATTGGGTTCGAGAAGGAGCGTGTACAACCGTCGGAGGAAGGTCATTCCACGCAGCTACTACCCGAAATGAGACTTTGTGTGTCCGACACTTCGTGGGGTTAAGGTGGTGGTGCTGGCATATACGGTTGTTAGAGAGAAAAACTCTCTCTCCCCTTTGGCTAGTCCTACTCGCCCATCCTCCTTTTTCCTTTGTTTGCTTCAGCGAGAACACTACAAAGGCCGCAAACATCGACCTATCATTTGATTCTGCGAATGAAGGAAGTGTGGCTAATCAGTCAGTTTGACAGGCAATACGGGCCTTTTTGGTATTGTAATCGCCGGTGGTTTCATCGCCATATTCGGATTCCGGCGCCTCACCTGACCCCAGCCTTTCAATCCACGGTGCATGATAGCGCGGTGTGAATGATCATCCACTCAGGAAGGCTTCACGGTCTTACACCGATATCCATTTATTTCTACGACGCTTTTTGACGGGAAGGAACTAAAAGCGAAGGACGATGTACCATGGTAGGCTACCACATATTTACGAGATGCGTACGTCTCCCGTGGATGGTCCAGAAGCTGACAGTATGGACGCTTCTGACATCAGTTTACCACCGCATTGTAAGGCGTCTCCGGCCAAACGTGGACACCATCCTTGGAGGCAAACAGTTTCAACGGCGTACGGACGTTTCGAAACACCTTCCTTTCCATCCTTCTTTGTCTTTACGTGACTATTTTGTTTTCATCTCTCTGAATTTGACACGCAGAGAAAGGATGCCCTCAGCAGACGATAAATCACCCTGCTCTAAGCTGTCTGAGACTGTTAAAAAATTCGCCTAAATACGGGGCTCCCACTAAGTGGAAGAATCACTTTCCGGAAAAGTGTTGTGGGTAGGGAATCTGAATGAGTTACTGCAAGTGGCCGAGTGAATTGTTGTTGAAATATTTCAGTCCGGCACTATAGCCCTCCTCGTATTAGTGACTACCTGGCGCGTAGTATTAATGAATGTTTCGAGCATTATAAGGATTTTCGGCTGGTGAGCCTATCTGCTGCAATGGCCTGGGCACTCTGTAAGGCTCGATCGTCTCCAGCTTCCTCGGTCTTATCAACCCGCAGCAATCTTCGGTCTATTCGTATGTTCCTTAGCCCTGACGCTAGACAGCTTGTGGAGACCATTTGCGTACAAAAACCAGGGGGAACGTGTCTTGGTCTCCGGGGTTTTCAGAGAGCTGCCTCAGATTCAGTTCATGGACTCAGTTGGTTTTATTGCTGCAAATTGAAGGGCTAATAAAGACGCTTTCGGCAGGAAACAGCTTCGGCGTGTGTAACAACACTTATAAGACGCCCACGGAGTGTTGTTGGCAGCAGGCTATGGCAAGGGGAAAGAACTTACAGAGCGGTTCATATAATCATGGAGCGATCGGTCACACATTTTCCAATTCCAAAGCC